AGGTTCTTGTAGTACACATTGTCGAATCTCTGCGGCGTGTGTGGGTCCATGGTAACTGCAATTCTCGGATCTACATTTTTGGGACACTCTTTTCTGAGCTCCCTTGCATATGCGACGTTCATCGTTGGATCGATTCTGTTCTTGCTCTTGAAGTTGTAGATCCGGTGAGTGAATCTGTTGCAATGTGAGAATCCAATTGTATGTGCTCCTGTTACACATGGATGTTTTATTTTAACTACGCTCTGGACACGAAAAAATGAAGTGAAAATATTTTTTTTCGGATTCAGGGCGTGACAACTTTTCTTTATGTACCTGAGAGCGCGACAAGATCAGTTAGAGAGAGACCGTGTTTGGCGAACAATGAATCAAGCTCTTCTACGTTAAAATCAGGATGGGGAAGATGTTGTCTCACACTTGCTTTTGTAGAAGTCCTCCCATCAAGTCTTCCCAATTCAACTTTGTAGAATGGTCCCCCAGTCTGCACCCAAAGAATATATGCTAAACTTTCTCTAATTCTCTACTTAGTATGATTTGATTAGTAAAAACGCATAACTTTTGACTTAATCAGTGACCTTTAGGAAAAAATATATTCCTTTTTCAAGCAGTAAAAAGGAACAAATTGCTTTTGAACTCGATTAGCATAGAGGTTAAACGTTCATAAAAAAGAGGCGACTTTAGACCAACAAGGCTCTCCGCTTTGCAAGAGTTGGGAGGGAGAGAGTGGGAGAGAACATATATCGTACACAGTCTTACCCTTGCTTTGCAAAGAGGCTGTTTCCACGACTCGAACATGTGACCTTTTAGTCACAAAGGAGCAACCTTTTAGTTGCGCCAAGATTCACCCTCAGAGGTTAAAAGTTCATAACCCACAAAAACAAACCCCACATTGAGGTGAAAATGAATTATGCACTGAACAGCAATAGTTGTGGATTTTTACAGTGTATGAAAAATTATCATTTTTCTCAGTAAAACTGTAAAATTGTGAAGAAAAAAAAAACCCCCACATTGAGGTGAAAATGGATTATGCACTGAACAGCAGTAGTTGTGGATTTTTACAGTGTATGAAAAGTTCTCATTTTTCTCAGTAAAACTGTAAAATTGTGAAGCTTTAAAGCGTTGAAGAGACAAAATTGTGCTTGTTTTACCAGTCTTATGACATCCCTTGTGGCCAAGGCCAGAATGTCAGCACAAGAAACCTTGTTCCTGCAATTAGGCACTCTATCAACAGCAGCCTTGGCTTTGATCACCGTGTCAAACCCGTCTCCGGCGAGTGAAAGGTTATCCGAATTATCCTTCTCCGCTGAGTTGTTCCGAAACGCTAGCATTATTGAAGCATCGCATCCCTATCCAAAAAACAAAATACTTCACACACATTGCACATACATCTCTGATAGCACGAAAGAACTTCGAAGCAACGAAAAAATGCAAGTTTTATGTATGAAAGATCAAAGTTACCTGAACGAAACAATCGTGGAAGAAGAGCCGGAGAGTGGCTGGGGCTGTGACAAAAGTCTGCTCAAACTTCAGCTTGACTGCAGCATGAACAATTGATTCAACATTAGGGCATGATTTTCTGTAGTGCTCTACATGAAGTTGAGCAAAGGTGCTTTTGAGGAGGAGGAGAAGAAAGAGTAAAGGAAGATAGAAGGTGCTTTTGGAATTCATTTGAAAAGTTGAATACAGTAGGTTCTTGATTGCGTTAGTGTCATGCATGTGAAGCATGTCTATATAAAGGTTAATTAACGTGAGGTGGCTTTGTCTGTGAAGAATATTCAAAGAAAATAATGAGAAGTTAAATTTAAAGAATAATAAGACAAAAAATTTAAATAAATAAATAAATAAAAACTCATAAGACCAACTCCAATGGTGGGCTAAAAGCCAAATTACTCCCCAAAATTTTCCCCCAAACCCACTCCAACCCAAGGGGAAAATTTGGGCTACTGCTAAATGCTAAACCAAGGCCATATTCCCTCCGAAATTTAGCCCAAAAATCGTAATTTAAAATTTTCAATATTTATCAGAATTTATTTATTTTTAGATTAAAATGTTTATAAAATTAATTTACGATAATCTACATTTTTTTTTTAAATTTAATTTAACAAAAAAAAAAGCCTAAGTTCATTCATTAATAATTCCGGGCTAAAATTTTAGGCTAGAACGGTTAGAGCAGAAAAGCTGTTTCTTGGCTAAAAGCTAAATTTTTCGGGTTAAAATATTTAGTTTTTAGCCCAACCATTGGAGTTGGTCTAAGACCATCTCCAACCCTTAGGCTAAAAGTCAATTTTTTTAGCTCGGAAAATTTGGCTTTTAGCCCAGAAACATATTTTCTGCTTCAACCCTTCTGCACTAAAATTTTAGCCCGGAATTATTAAAGAATGAACTTAGGCTAATTTTTTTCTTGAATCAATTTTTTTTTAAATATGTAGATTATTGTAAATTAATTTTATGAACATTTTAATATAAAAAAATTTAAATTCCGATAAACATTTGGCATTTAGCCCGGGGGGTATTTGGCCCAGAAATAACATTTGGCATTTAGCCTAAAATTTTAACATGGGTTGGAGAGTGTTTGGGGGGTAATTTGGTTTTTAGCCCAGGTTTGAAGATGGTCTAAAGGAGTGCTTGGATGGAAAGGAGTTGGATTTGAAAAAATGATGTGACAAAATGGCAAGCACGCTGGCATGCTGATAAAGATGTCTGGATTTTTGGATGTTTAGGGTTTTCAATTTTAGATTCTTCCATACAACCGTACATATTGTTCTATATTATATATTGTAATTTTCTTATAGTCCTCAAGAAGATCAAGTGGTGATGATCATGTAACTGAGTGCTATAGGAAGAGAGAAAATATCTCTCGGAATAACTAAGCTTTGGTGGTGGGATAGTCAGTATGGCAATCACTTTTACATATAAAGAGTTCATGCACATTGAAAGTTATACTTAGGTATGCTGGGATGGTACCTAAATAAAGTAAAATCCGTTCTTTTGTGAGATTATATGACCATTTAAATAATCATACTGCCTTATTAAAGTTTTTGTTCCATAAGCTGTCGTATTGTGAAATATTAAAGTAAAGTAATTGGGTATTGTGGGAGTGTCATTGTCCAATCTATGTGCTATTTGGCACATGACAAGCAGATAGTACTCAGAAAATGCATAAAAGGCCATAACTGCTCTAAAGAAGACATGCTAAATCCAAATTATCTGTCTCTCATTCCTGTTGTCATGTGGTCCTTGAGGAACAACAAATGATGTGTATAAAGATTATAAAAATAAAGCTTTAAAGTAGGTTATAAAGAATGGTTTATAACTGGTGTAATTCTATTAACTAGAAGGAATTCTATCGGATTTAGAAGTTTTTTTTTTTTTTTTGGGTATTATTTGTAGGTAAGTAAAATTTATCATAATTAGTATAAATAAACATACAAAGCATAAACAATTACATCCAAAATTCCTCAAGCCGTTCTCTCTTTCTCTCCTCTCTAGCCGACCACTCTCTCTATCTCTCCGAGTAGTTAGTTTTGCAACAAGATTTACCCATCAAATCTCTCTTCTATCTTCACCAAAAAAATAATATATCTGTCTTCTATAGCCGGCCACTCTCTCTCTCTCCCCCAATAGTTAGTTTTACAACAAGATTTACCCAACAATTAAAATCGTTGTGAGAAATGTTGTATTGCTTTTTTGTAGAGTGAAATTGTTTATAGGTATAAGAATACAAGTCACATAGTATATTATTTCATGTGTTGTAATAAAAATAGACAATAATGTTGATATGCTATACTTCTTGAGTATATTAATAAAAAAAAACAAATTTATGTGTTATAATTTGAGTGAAATAATAAAACTACGTGATCGTATGAATAGAACAAAAATTGCTCGTTTCCACAATAGCAACCTTCAAACATTGCCACGTGGATAACCCAGAAAATAAAATATTAGTTACAATGGAATATTATCTTTGTTTGAATATAGGGCAGCCCACATGGTTCAATAAGTAATATTGCTGAATCAAAGCAAAAAAGCAACCTTCTATGTCTTGCCAAATGCTATTTGCTGACAATTGCGTCATGGGCATATCATATCTAATAAATTTCTCACATTTCTTACATAGAAAGGGAAAAAAACTTGTCATAGTTTCAAAAAGAGGAGAGGAGATGCCAAAACAAATATAGACAAAGTTTTAATAGGTATATCGAAGCTGTTTATTTCTTATTCATACGTTAATGTCTGATATTTAGATTGATACTGATTTCTCACTTAGATTTAAAGATACAATCATCCAACACTTTTGAAAGTTCAAACATGAAACATAAGTTTGTAGAATCTCTTAATACCCTAAAAGAAGCAATCATGTCTAGAATTAGGTCAAAAATTGGAAAAGAAAATTTATGAAAATAGGAGTCGAGCGAAGATAAGGCGCAACTTGATCTTAAAGTATAACGAGTCGGTTGATCGGCCATGGAAGTTAGATGAAATTCAAAACATTAACGTTCAGACAAAGAAAATTATTGTATATCAAGAATTATCTCAATAGTTTAGAGATGAGATTTAAATTCGATAGTTTAGAGGGGAGACCACTATAAGCTGAGCTATACCTAGACCTGTAAACGAGTTGGGTTTATCAGGTTTGGATCGGGTTCAATCTGACCCGTTAAGTTAACGGGTCATCCATTAACAATTATTTAACAGGTGACCCATTAACAATTTTTTTTTTATAGAGTTTATTTTTTATTGTTAAGACTTTGCAGAAATTACTAAAACATTATCAACTAAATGGTGCTAACGGGTTGACCCAAAGTGACTCATTATTTAACGGGTTCATCTGTTAGCGACCCGATCCATTAAGCATTTACTCAAATACTAATATTAACATATCGGGTCGGGTAGGACTAACAGGTCGGGTCCAAAATTTCAAGTCTAGCTATACCTATATAGATTCGGGCTCATTCATAATATGTTAATCACCCATCTAATTTTAGCCCTAATCTGACATTGGGACCCTCAAAGCGGCGTGCCGTTTGTGTCAGTCAAGACAACGACAACCAGTGACACTGAGTCAGTTTCCCTCGGTCAGCACACAGCCTAGAAAGCGAGGGAAAAATGGCAGCGGCGTCGTTTAGGTGGCTACTGCAGCTGCACAAGGACGTGCCAAAAGCCGCTCGGTTTTACGCCGAAGGGTTGGACTTCACCGTCAATGTCTGCACTCTTCGATGGGCGGAGCTCCAGTCCGGCCCGCTCAAGCTTTCCCTCATGCAATCCCCCAAGTAAATTCCTCTCTCCCTTCTCCGAGACTGGGTGCTCGATGCACACCAGGTGTTTGATGATTTGTCTAAACCAGATGCTTACACGTTCTTTGCCGCAAATGTTACCGTTCGTTCGTGTTTTTCGTAAAAAGGGTATAGTTGAAAGAGACCCAACTCAACGTAAAACATCAAAATTTCTTGGTTTTTTTTTTTTTTTTTTTTTTAATTTTGTATTTATTTTATGGTTCATGCTAGTTTTGGTAATGTGGCACAGTAATTGGATTTGAGCTTTGCGTTTGGAAGGAAATGGCATCTGCTAATGATGAATGTTTGACAGGGATCATGTGATGCAGAGCGGAAACTCTTCACTTTTGTCCTTCACGGTGCCAGACATTAATCAAACGGTGACCAAGTTGATGGCGTTGGGAGCTGAACTCGATGGCCCTATCAAATATGAAGTTCACGGCAAGGTGATGACTAAATTTCTGAACGAAACCATTGCGATCATTTATTCTTCTATCATCGCTAGTCGGTACCCTGGATGCTGAGATTTTAATACGATTACATTACAGGTTGCAGCCATGCGATGTATTGACGGGCACATGCTAGGCCTCTATGAACCTGCTTAGGAGTTTCAGAAGCAAACCCCTTGAAAAATAGGGTGCCTGAAGGGGATGTGAGGAATCTCGGGCCAATCTTCCCCTCTCTCTGTAATCGTCCTTGTAGCGGAGGAGATTGCTCCAACTCTACGATGCTTCACTTAAATTTTAGCAAACTCCTATCATTTGTATAAAAGTTGATTCATTGAAATGTTTGCCCGGTGTCTCAGTACTGGCACTGTTGAGCAGTTCATGAGAATGCGCCAGGTGGTGAGACGACGAGGATATTATAGGCAAAGCGGAAGTCAATTAGAATGTAAGAAGCTGTCAAAGTCTAAAATGGCGTGAATTAAAACGATGACACAATTTAGATAGATCAAGGCAGCAAGATACAGAATTCCAGTCGGAATGAGCAGGTGAAACTCAAATATACAAATTGCCGAAATCGAATGGTCCTATTGTACTCTACTGCTAAACAACCAGAGCTATATTCCTGCACCACTTTTGGCTATGGCTTTGTACAAATCCAGATGTTCCGACTGGTGTAGCATTACGAAGAGTTCCCCTCGCATATTTCCCGAAGAGTTTGGGGCAAATTCAACACTATTTCTGCGTATGCTGGAGTGGGATCACAAAACAAATACGAAAAACTAACAATAAGAAAATGTAGATGCTCACAAAGCATGCACATGAACTGTTCGGTAAATTGTCTACGATCCATAAATCTTGTTTGTAAGTTTCCATAGAAAATTAGTACCTTACTGCCATTAGCAACAAAGTTGCAGCGGGTTTGTTTTTTTATATTTCAAATGTAATCCAAGACCAAAAACTTTATCAGAGCTTGCCAAGTATCATCAGATAGGTTGAGGGAAATGTTCATCGAAATTTTAAACATCATTTATATTGGCAGAGCAGTAAGCAAGTGAAAAAGTCATCAACCAGAAAGAATACCTTCGGGTAAGCTCTTATTTCGCAAAGCATCCTCTGCATAGAAGAGGGTGGTTGGACCTTCCAATGTTCCGTTTTCCTTTTTGTTCATGGATGATATATTTAGACTGCTTTTTCTGGGTTGACACACTGGCCATGCTACCACACTGACATGAGTTGGAAGCACAGAAACAAGCTCTGCATATTTAAGCTTCACAACCACCTTGCTGCAAACAGAAAATCACATTCTTCAGGATGATGGAAACACATTTACTCGCGATGATGTATACATAACCATGCCTGCTACCAAGATGGCACTCAACCACACGTAAACTAATAATTGATTCGATTATATCATGGGATAATGGATATATAAAGCAAAAGCTACCATCAACTACTTTTGTCTTGTCAAAAGAATACATAGAAGTGAACAAATTTATCATTGTCCTACTCAAGACAAAGCTATATTAAGTGCCAGACAGACCAAGATATGTTAACTCAGATGCGTCAGTAACAAATTACCCAGCTCATACAAGTACTCTAAAAGGGACTGGCAATGAATATGAATACGCTGACATATCATTACGAATGTGTTTAGCACATCAAGATATTATTTCATTGATGCTTCAAAATCCAAATACACAGTATAATGCAGGGGAACAAAGCACCAACCAATCAAAATCAAGTTTTGAAAAGACGATTAAGCTGTAGGGAAGGGTAAAATGAATTTCTTTGATCTGATTCCCATATAACTCCTTGACAAGCCTAACCTGCATGACAATCAGTGAAGTTAAGAGTAGTAAACAATTAAATAAATAGGTGTAATGGAACAAAGCTATAGTGTCCAACCCACCCACCCCTCAATCCCACGTCTCTAATTTGCACATCTCATCCAGCATATGTTTATCTCTTCAATATTTGGTAACAAGGCAGGGAAACCCACCCTTCACCCTCCTCTAACTAACTATTTTTGCATATTCTAATAATTACAAATTTTAGTTTACATAAGCCAACAGCATACCTGTTCCCTTCTGTCCACATAAGCCTGTAACATCTCTCCAATGTAATCTATAAATTTCTGAAAGCACATCATCAACGACAAATAATCAGACCAGGGGCACAATATTGAGTCAGCAAGGCTAATGCACAAACCCAATCATACCATAGCATTGGAGGAAAGAAGATCATTTTCTGCTTCTCGTATTGGCAAGAAGTACGGAATGGTGTGTTCGAGGACTGTCATCTTCTCAAGAAATGACTTGCTCTCAAGCACACAATGGTATAGGTCACAAGGTTCTCCTGCGTCATTGCAGATGCAGATGAGTTAGCATCCCCACCGCTAAAGGCCCAAGTGTTGAATGTGTTACAACCTTATAGCACATATTTTTTTCCCAAAAGTAGAGTAATTTTCTATAACCATCTTGATGAATGTGTTACAACCTTATTGGAGGTAGATCTAACTGTTACACCCCAATCTTTTATCAACTATTACCTTCAGTTTGCTTATGGAATATTTTACACCGCAGAACAGTGATCTCAGATAGAAAAATGACATGATACCATAGTAGACACTGAAAATATTAACTAATTGAAAATAAATTACTTCGCAGCATACCTGCATAAGATGTCTCATACAGTATGCCAATTCTTGCCCCTTCCAAACAGCAAATCACCTGTCCACATATTAAACCCATATTCAGGAAACTTCTCACAAAAACAATACTCAATAAGTTTATGAAATAAAGATTACCGTATGTGTATGCTATATCTAATATATAAACTCTACAACTAGGGTATAACTTATAACCAAATCACCATGAATCCTGGCATTAATGTTTGTATTTATGTTCACTCCCAATTAGAAATTACATCTACAATTATTAAATTATCAGGAACCAATAGACAACAATGCACAGTTATTCTACGACCAGAAAGGCTTCTTTGCTGGCATAGGGACAATCCTCCAGTTACTGATTGAAACAAACTTCTCAAAATTACCTTATTTCCGATTTTATACGTAATTTTTTCTTGACCAGGCAACATGTTTACGTCTCCCTCCATTGCCTTTCTTTCAGCCTCCATGTGAACCTGATTAAAGTCTAGACCAATTAGATTAGGCAATTTTTCACATTTACTATGAAAAATGAAACACAGGAAAACGAGATATCAATTCCATCACCAAATTCTAACATCAAAAGTTTAGGGAAGCCACAGTAAATCTCAATCACTTTAAAGTATTGAATGGAACTGTACCCGCTCTCTTATTGTTGCTAGTAGTCCATCGTTCCATTGTTCACCATCCAAATAAGTCTCTGCAACAAAGGATATATTTCAATTCTTACTCAAGCCAAAAGATAAACCAAAGTTTTCACACAAGTCAACCCAAACAATACACAACTCCTTAATGAATAGGAAAACTTGGTAAAAAAAAAATCAGAATATTCGATGAGTTATATTGTTTAAATCAAGCTTATTATCACAGGTGAGCCATCAAGAACCATGACTTTGAGCAATACAATAATTCCTAAACAGGTGAGCCATCAAGACAGCACACTAATTTGTCCCTTGTGGGACTGGGGCCATAATAGTCTTCCCCTTCAGTTGCTGGTATCCTCATCAAGAGAAGGTTCAATCACACACTTCGCCACGACAGGCTTTTGGTCAACTAAAATACCAACCCGATAGTGGTTGGGTTCCTTAGACCTGTATATACCAAAGATGACCACAGTGCACAAATGATGTGGGACTTGAGGTATCACACCACATATGTGCTCTCCTCCAACAGCATTTAGGAACATGGGAAGGAAAGAATGAGTAACTTGACATAATGCAAAGCTAGATACTATTGATTCCAATTACATTTGAAATGAAGCATTAAACATAACACTTTTTAAAGATACCTTGAGTTTGTATAGCCCGTGCAGCTTCAAATTCCTTCTGTAGACGCTCATAAATTATCTTGTCGGCATCCCTGTTAAAACAATAGAATCATTAATAAATTAGTAGTAGTAATATACACGTCCACCAATAATTACGATTCTATCTCTAACTGGAATAATGATGAACAAGGGCGCCTTTTTCTTTGGAGGCAGTAAGGCACACACATAGAATCGTCATCAAATTCTTCGCCTATTTTATTAAGGCTTATATCCACACTTCATAAAGAAATAAACATAGACAGGGGCATGTGCCAAGTATTTTTTTCACTGGCGTATTTTATATGTAAGCATGTATATACGCATGCGTGTGTCTGCAATATATGTATGCACAATTGCACATATATGCTTACACATACAAGATAAATACTACTAAAGTTACTTTCAAACAGCTTAGACAACTCTTTGCTACAAAGTCAGCTAAGACATCTTTAACATTTAATCGCAAGAAGCCCGACAACCATAGTGCGGGTTTATTTTATTATAATTAAATTTCTTTTGAATATTAACATAAAATTGCATTACTGATTCCAGAATCCCGAAGTAGCTGATTGTCCCAAATTCACAAAAATCACAGGAGACTATCAGGTTATTCAAAAACTTGTTAGTCTTTTTCGAAAAATATTTGGAATTTCAGTGACCCACGAATCATAATCAAATTCATACTCAAAATAAAAAGATATGAAGAAATAATGCTACCCACATTTTTTAGATAATCAAAGGAACAACTGGACTTCATTTGGGTGAGGCCATAGCATCTAAAATGCCTGCAGTTATAAACATAGGCATACGATAAGAATTCTTAGTAGATTTGTTACTTCCTTCTTCCACTCTTCGATGATATTCTTTTCTCCTATTTCATTGCACAAGTAATCTCTAAATAGATTCAGTAAGTGAAACTCTAGCATGAGAAAGAAAATGAAAACAAAGGAAACAAAGTATACAAAAAGCATATATCCTTGCGCCTAGAGGAAGCATCGCCAGAAAGGCCTTAATTATTTGAAGTCACTCAAAAGAATTTTATACGAGCATTCCATAATATTTGAAAGCAATGACAGTTCCATAAAAATACACTACGATCTCACAATAACCAAAAACGACATGGTGAATAAAGACTTAACAAATTGCTCCACGAATACTTTACCTAGAAAGACGCTCCGCTAACTCGCTATGCCTTTTGAGAACATTTGTCCCTGTCAAATACAAGAAAAGCTTCAATGGCCTTCACAACAAGCAAGAATTCTTGTAAACGTTTGTCATAAAGAACAAAGACAATAAAATACGAATACGAAAAGGGTTGCTCACATCTAGCTCGTATGGCGTCTAACGAAATATCTTCCTCTTGCATATAACCCTGTTACAAAATAACACAAAAGTATAATCTTTGTGACAAATACGTACAGAGTTCCAGAGCACTGATAAGTAACAAAAATTTGACTGTGACCATCACCAAAAACACATTTCAATTAACTCAAAAATTAAAACTTGAAAATTGAAAATTCTACACTGCAAAATAACATAAATTGAGTGATAAATGATAATTAATACCATTTCTCCTGGGGCATAGGAACGTCCGCTCAGCGATTCAAACTGCTGCAGTATTTAACAGAAATTGCGAAGCAATTCGTATAAAATATGAAGAAAAAAATCGAAAAATCCAATCAATTTCTCAGCAAACATAACAATTTAAAGTAAAAATAAACGGAGAATTGCAAACGAAAGAAAAAACTGACCCTGCGAGATGGGTCTCCGAGATACGCCATCTTCCTCGATCTCCGCCTGAAATGCTCTTCTGCGTCGTCGCTGTAATCCATTCCTCACAGGAAAGAGAGAGAGGAAAGAGAGAAGAAGAAGAAGAAGATGCTCGGAATGGGTCGGACTAACCCGGAATCACAAAAATTAGGGATTTTGTAGAAAGTCGGGTAAAATTACTTGACCCGAACCCGAGCATAAAGTCAGGTAACGAACTGGGCCGCCAGGTTAAAACTTCCACGTCTTTCGCTCGCAGACGGGCCGCCAAGAAATTCACCTTATTTTCTTACCTCCGTTATAAATATTTTTTTTGTTGAAAATAAGTTTTCTTTTCTAAAAAAAATTAAACATATTTTGTTGACCTAACCAAGAAAAACAGAGAATTCTGTTTTTTTTAGATAACAAAAAGAAATAGGTACAAGATTTGGACAAATTCACAAATATTGTAAGATTAAGCTTTCGAATAACATCATATAATTTAGAAATTTTTGGTTGCATTCTAATTTTTATTTATTTATTTTATCAGATAGAACATTTAAAATTGAATTTGAAAAAGTTGTTAAAAAACTGAGGTGCTAAAATATGCGTTAGTAGTAAGTCACATAAATAATGAAATTCATGGTTAAAGAAGGTTTATTTATATTTGGACGTCATTGTTGCTCGTCATCTTGACGTTTCTTGTCACTAAATTGATCAAATATTTGTTCTTCAAAAATTATATGTCGCTCATTTTAAAAGATAAGTAACGGCCATCAATTTACGTTCCTAAATTACAAATAGTTCATATTGTACGTACATTTTTTTAAATAACTATTTTGTTTTTTGTTTTTTTAAGAATTAAAAGTTTAAATTTATACTAAAAACAAAATAATTATCAAACGAATTTTTTTTTTTTTAACAAACGATATTATCTACACTAAGAGTGATACGTGGACTTAATATTTTTCTTAATACAAACGAGAATGCTACTCTAAGCTACAATGAAGAGAGAGAATGATATGAACTCGAGATGCAATGATTTTTGTTTTGACAAACGATAGCGTTAGTAGGTTAAATAGTTAATTGTTAGAAGAGAGGAATCGGTAAAGATCGACATTACATCATGGTGCATAAGTATAATTACTTTCCGCTACTACGGCAAAACGTCATTGCCACCAAAGCAATTTACCACTCCATAGACTTAATTCTTAAAAAAAAATAAGATTTTCAAATTTAATGTAATAAAACTTCCCAAAACACAACAAATATGGTAAGTATTTTTTAAAATAAAACAAAAATACAGAAATAAGAAGGAAAAAACACCGAGAAAGAAGAGAAGGAAGAGAGAGAAAATCAAAAGAAGGAGAAAGAGAGAGAGTATCAGCAGAAGCGATCGAGCTACACAGAGCGGAAGTTCGAATAAAAATCAGCAAACACCCAAAAAATACAAAAAAAATAAAAAAGCAGTGAAGAAATTTCAAAAATAAAAAAGCCCAAGAGAGATAGAAAGCGAAAGGCAAAGTTCCGAAGTCACTGAGGTTCGATTTTTCTCTGCAATTCGTCGAAGAAGCTCGATAAGGTCAGAGTTCAATCAATCTCCCAAAACCCCTCTCTCACAAACACTCTTCCAGCTTTTCACTATTTGATTTGTCTGCTTTTTTTTTTGGCGCTTCATTGCGCTTTCTCCTTTTGTTCGAATTCGATTTTCCTGCAATTCGAGCTCTGTTTCTTCAACTTCAATACGCCGAAGTCACTGATCTCGTTCCCCCGACTTCAAATTTCGCGTCTTGAAGTTGAAAGCTTGCGAATTGGGGGAAATTAAAATCTGGGTTCGGATTGGCGGGGTGGTGTAATTCAAGTTTGCGAGGAGTTCGAACCCGAATTTTTGGTGATTCCAAGTTAGGGTTTTTTATTTGTAAAGGTTATTTTTATTAATTAAGCTTGATTGTGTATAGTTTTGTTGGGATTTAGCGAGCTTTGTTACTTGGGTTGATCTCTAGGGTTTTGGGATTGAGAAGATGGGATTTGGGTTTGCATTGTATGGCTCGTGGGTGGGGCAATTTTGGGTCTTTTGGATACAGGGTTAACCGAATTCCGGTTCTAGATTGGGGGTTTTGGGGTTTTTTTTTTATATGGTAGATAGTTTGCCTCTGTTTGTGGGCATATGCAGAGTTATGAGGATTGATTTGCAATGAAGGATATGGAGGAGTGCAAATTCTGGGTTTTCTGGAAACAGTAATAACGGTAATTTTGGCTTCTGGTGCGGTTTCGGGGGGATTAGTTGTTTCTTGTGGATGGTGTATGAATCTGTTTCTTGAGAAATGCAACCTCAGCAGTTCTCTAGAATTGATTTGGGTGATCTGAAAGCACAGATAGTGAAAAGGATTGGGGCCGAGAGGTCAAGGCGGTATTTTTATTACTTGAACAGGTTGTTGAGTCAGAAGCTGAGCAAGAAAGAATTTGACAAGTTGTGTCACCGGGTGCTCGGGAGTGAGAACTTGCCACTGCACAATCATTTCATACGGTCAGTCTTGAAGAATGCATGCCATGCCGAGACCCCACCACCAGTCCATTCACCAGTTCCTGCGAAGCCTGGGATACAAGCTGCAAACAGTTCTCCAAGTAGAGAAGATGGGCAGGAACAAAGCCTCTTTTCGCATCAAAATCAAAATGTACCCGCTTGGTCGAATGGGGCGTTGCCAGTGTCCCCACGAAAGGGTAGGTCCGGGATACGCGAATGGAAGCTAAGGGATAGGCCAAGCCCACTTGGACCAAATGGGAAGGTAGATACTGTATCACATCATCCCACTGGTGCCGATGATAATGGCGGTAAGTTTATTGTGGAAAACGGGGATGTGCATGCATTTGATCATCAGAGACCAATGCAACGTTTCCAACCAGTTGCTGAGCTACCTGGCAGTGAAAGAGATGGTGCAGTTCGGCGGCCCATAGAAAAACCGCGGATACACAGCAAAGACCAGACTGACTTAGCTGTTATTGATCAAGAGGAAGAAGGAGAACAATCAAACCGCATGAGTTTCTCAAGAAGTCCTCTACTTGCGCCACTGGGGATCCCATTCTACCCAGCCAGTGTAGGTGGGGCCCGCAAAGCTTTTCCAGTTGGTAGCAGCTGTGATTTTGTTAGTTATTATGACAGTGGGGGATTGTCCGATACGGAGACACTTAGAAGACGCATGGAGCAGATTGCTGCAGCACAGGGTCTTGGAGGTGTTTCTACAGAATGTGCCAATATGCTGAATAATGTGTTGGATGTGTACTTAAAGCGAATGATTAGATCCTGCGTTGAGTTGGTGGGAGGAAGGTCTACATCAGAGGCAAAAAAGAATGCTGCACCAAAGCAGCTGCAGCAGCAGATTCAAGGAAAGATTATCAACGGCATGTGGCCAAGCAATCATATGCATATACAGAGCAGCAGTGGGCCCGTGGAAGAGCAAAGATCTCGGTGCTCAATATCTTTGCTTGATTTTAAGGTTGCAATGGAGCTAAATCCACAGCAACTTGGAGAGGATTGGCCATTGCTGCTGGAGAAGATTTGTATGCAAGCATTTGAGGAATGAAAGATCCTTGTGAAGATAAGTTCATCCCAAAGTTGTGGTTGGGTCAGTCCGTTCTGGTTCAAAGGTCCTGAGATCACCAGTTGTTGGAGATCAATGGTTCAAATAATTGTAATCCCATTGCCAGGACGCACCGGATGGTTCCTGAGTGGGTAAAGTTCCGGGTATTGCACGGTGAAATCATCTGTTTGAGCATCAAATGTCTGTATTTTCTTGCCGCCAGGATCCATCCAGAATTATCTAACTGCAGCCATTCAAGGGTGTTTTCAAACTGAATCCCCATGTTTGGTTGTTCTGTTGTATGTTTAACATAGATGCTGCTGTATTTGCTACCGCTCCAGATCTCACGCTTTCGTGTAATTGCAGCCAATGGAAGAAATATAAGAAAATTTTGCAGGGACTGTGTTCTGTAGCTCGGTGAGAGGTACAATTGCTTGTGTAAGAGCTGCAGTATGCTCTGTATGTATTTTAGAATCTTAGAATTGATTTAAATTTCAATATCAATAACACATCGACATCAATTGAGCTGTCCTCGACGGCATTAGTTTAGCTTTAGTGTTCATAAATGACACTCAAAATATTTAACTGCCAAATTATCGTTCACTGCTCATGTGTTCTGGTTGACATCTGCGAATGCATATTTAACCTTTGATCATGCAAAACAGTTGATATATTTCTGCAAGTACGCACAGAAACACAATAATTCACATTTCTAAATCTTAATTACTGTCAAATTGATTGTAATTAGTAAGCTGTTTTATATTTCCTGTTGATGAAACGAAACATGTTTTCATATGCCCCATTTGTTCTCTTTCTTTTCCATTTCATCAGTCGTATAATCCTTGCTTACCAACATGCACTGTTTCTGTCCTCTTTTCTCCTCTTCTTTTTCAAGCTTCAACTTTGATCATCCTTTTTGTGTTAATTTCTCGTGGTAATTCTGATCGATCTCTGTAAATTAATTTTGGTATTTCCATTTTTATTTTTTATTTCATTTGCATCTATTGTTTTCTGTAATCATCTTGTAATAAAACTTACTGACCAATAACAGGACGTTTGAGGCATAGTTTTCTGCACCTTCATTGTTCTGCAATTTCTGGGAAGCTTCAGATTCATAAGTAGCACAACCTTGGTTTTAACCGTTGAATCTTGGTTATTGTATTTTTTGACCAATGACGTGACGGTTAAACCGTTTTCACTTTTCAGTTACAAACAATGAAGCAAAAGCAGAATTTCAGAAACAAAAGAAAAAAAAAAAACATTGGTTTCTTGGTTTCTTCAACATATATGATGTGGGTGTTGGGATCATTTTCGTAGGTTTCACTTGTCTTTGGAACTGTTGTCATTGGTTGTTAGGTTTGCAGTGGAAAGAAAAAGACCAGTCAGATATATGTGGCTTCATTTGACGGCACCCATGTTTACCTGAGAAAGTAGAAGCTTATGGAAACCCCTCAGTTATTGCAGTTCCACGGTGGATAAAAAGGCTCTGGATATTTTCCTGAAATAGCACCACAGGATTTTGCAAACTGCTTTCGACTTTTGGGCTGTTTCCTGGTTTTGCACCATATTTGCATTATTCGTCTTATGTTGCTTTCTCTTATGTAACATGTCTCGCACAATCTTTGTTTCTCTGGTCACATGACTACAAATAGTCTAAAGGTGCTCCGGAGAAATGGACATTTCGAGTTTTTTAACCGTTAGATTTTAGTTTTTGTGTTTTTGAACAATGATCTAATAGTTAAAAATCCAAAGTACATAATACTCCAGAGCATTATAGAAAATCTCCACTTGACTGACCATGAGATGAAAGAGACTTAAGAGTATACAACTGCGACTTGAGTTTTCTTTTCCTTTTTATTTATTGGTTATAAGTAACTTATGTGGGTTTCTAGGGTAAAAATTCAAAAATTCAAGAGTATAATGTACTTTCGAGTTCTACTATTGGACGTGTACTCAAGAATTCGAGAAAATGTAAGTTATGTAACGGGTCGATATGAGCTGCTTAAAAAGACAAGCTCATGAGCATGTGATTGAACGTACAAACGCACAAGTACAATACAGGACCAGAGAACTGTTGCCATCTCTTGGAGTTTGGAACATCAAATGTTGGCCTTACATGTGACCATTCTGGGCAGTAGCAAAGTCGCCTCATCCTTTCCAAGGGAGACCGAATCGTAGGATCTAACTTTTTCCCATGTCACTTGAACAAACACATGACAGCATCAAAATTGTTCTGTCGGACAATCTCATCAAATTACTTACTCGAATCGGAATTTTTATTCACTTTACAACCCCCTTTCAAAATTTGTCCAAGATCAGATTCCGGTGACATTCGAATGCCATGACTAACAGACGGCAGCCATCTCATCCGATAATACGCGTCGGTTTAGTAGAATGAAGTTTGAAAAACGAATGGTAAATTATCGAACTGTACTGAAAAAATGAGCTCTGTTGTAGATTATGGAGAATTCTGTAACGATCATTGCCAAAAATAGTTGGGATAACTAAAAACCCGACATCTTGAGCACCAAAACGATGCCTTGTAAACTGAAAACCGAAAAAGAAACACGTTTGAAGAAACAGCACCACTTTGTATAATTGTATGTATTCACAGTTCCACAAGTGAATGCGGATTCCGGCTGTAAGCCCAACAGGTTGGATTTATTAGTTGAATGAGATGAGACGGAAGAGAATCAATATGTACATGGAAAGGGTAAACTTTATAAAGAAGAAAGATACAATGAGGAAGTCTTTCCTCCAAATGATTTAATGACCGAATTATGTGGAGGGTGGCGACGGTGAGGGTGCTGGTGCTGGTGCTGCCGCTGCCTTGCATATTGGGCACCAATTCTTAAGCCGCAGCCACTGGTTTACGCAGACAATGTGAAAGCTATGCTCGCAGCGCAATCTTCCAACTTCATCTCCAGCCACATACTCTTCCTATGAAAAGATAGACTGATAAGTATTACTCTATATATAGAGAATTAGATTCAACTAGTACGACCCGAAACAAATCTAAAGTATATCTGATTAGATCCACACTGAATTTTATGACATGTTAAACAACATTTGGAAGCATGCTGAGCTAGTTATAACTTCTAACTTATCCAAGGAACTGCCTTGCACTAGTGTAGGTTCAGGGTGAAAACTTCGGGAGGCAACCCCTCTACGATAGCATTAAATAATCATCAGGAGCCCAATTTTCTTAAACTTAGAGGTGCTGCTACATAATTACACTTGGTTTTAAAAGAAAAAAAGATCAGAGCTATTGGAAAAGGACCTGGCAGATACTGCATTTGACATCCTCCTTCTTCCCATCGCAGCTTACAGATGCATCTTCTTGGGGTGTAGACTGATAGATACTTTTCTTAAGGCAATCGGACAATGCTTCTTCTGGCAATGCTGTGCTGACAGTACCCATCCTCTCTTCTAGAGCTAATAATTCCTGACATCCAAGTAGGTGAATACCGTAAATGAAACAGATGAAGATAAAAAAGTTAAACCTACTATAGTATTTTAAACCATGCATTAGTTGATTAGTCGAATTGATTCATTACAGAGGCACTGATCATAACAAAAGGTTCAGATGCACCCTGACCAGTTCAGAATATTATTCAAACATAAATGAACAATGAGACATACTACGGATTATTTCTCTGTGAAATGAATCGCAGTGGACAACAATAGCAAACCTCATATGTCATGTTGTCAATATCCAGTCTCAAGTCTCTGTGATGATCGTAGATGTTTAGGCCATTCAGGAACAAATTGGTCTCGAGAACAAGTATTTGCTGAAATATGAAAAAAGATCAGTTAAAGAACAAAAATTCAATCATGCAAACACAAAAATCTATAATAAGTTAATAACTACCTCAAATGATAGCTCTTCATCGTGCTCAATTCTCTCGAGTGCTAGCAATACCTGCACAATTGTTTGAGATAAACAGATTAAGAAATGAAGGCACAACTACGTAAATTCTTTAGTGCTCCTTCCCATACAAGGCAACACGTTGTAAGACCACACAAATGTTCGTCAAAATTTCATATAATACCTCCGCTATCCCATCCATGTTGTAGCGTCGCAGTCCATCCTGATTCATTAGAGAGCGGGAAGACCCGACATCTGAAGCACCAGCTCGCAGAATGCCATGTAAAGTACCACTGCTACTACCTGGCCGGCTATAAGAATTCTGCCGAATTAAAGGAACTTCAGCAGATAACTGTTGTGATGAACTAGAAGCATTTGAGTTGATAGACATTTCAGGTTGAGATGTATGTGGGCCAACTGCAGAGAATCCATTGGATGACGAGTTGTTTCCACTTCCTTGATTAGGAAGCAGCCTTCCCCTCGAGTGACCAGTGACAGTTCTCCGAGTCCTAACTGATGCAACACCATTGTTATCCCTGTTAGAAGGCATATTTCTAGCTCTTCTTGAATCAGCAGAAATTGAGATGCCATGGCTAGAATTGGAATTTTGTGCTGACGATGACCCATTCATCTTCTTCCCCTTAGCAGCAGAACTACTTTCTCCTTCGGAAGTTCTTTTCTTTATGGTCTCTCTCTGACCAAGGCTTGAATCTGATGATGCACAACTGGACGGGACAACGTCAGATACTGAACTGCATCTTAGACTTCTTAAACCATTCCTGGCTGTGCTAGCCCGTGTCTGGATGGTGCCTTTAGGTCCCATAGAAACATTAGAACCCACTATCGAATCTTGGCTGCGCAATCCAGATCTCTGATTAAAACTCCTTCGAGACCTTGTATTTGATTCTACACGGGAGCTTCCAACTTCCATCAAGGTGATTTCACTAGACACAGAATTTTTAGATTCAAGGTGCAACCCTCTTTGAATTTTTCCAGGTGGCGGAGCGATTTCTGAAACTTCTGGATCATCCTGAACACTACTGGTTTCAGATGAATCAGTATCCAAATTAGAAGATAGCTTTTTATAAGGTTCTGAAATGGAGTTTCTTGTGTTGCCAACACCAACGCAAGACCTCGAGGAACTTCCAATTATCTCTTTCCCGCTTGACGAAGAGCGAAATGCTGGCCTTGACGGTTTGGCCTTTTCAACTTGAGCACTTTTCACAGAGTTCAATCTTCCACTGCATCCCAGTCGGCTACAGAGCTGAGCATTGCGGTGTCTATTGGGGGTTTCCCTCAAACCAAGACCAGATCCCTTTTTAGAGATGAGCCCATTCTCAGCTCTTTTACCCGAAAACTCATCCATGTATGTTGGTCGTATGTTTCAATTCTGTAACAACAGTAACAAAAAAATTTAAGATCATTGATACCATTTTACAAGTAAAATTACATCAATTTCCAAGTTCCATGAAGAATTTTAGTGATAGACAATCTAGATCTAGATGGTGAAGTATCATACGGTAGTCAAAGAAACTTTGGTGCTCAAAATTGGCAATTTTTTTGGTAGGGGGAAAAACAAGGAAACAAAATTGCAGACATTTCAAAACTAATAATCCTAAGAAAACTGTAACGGACAGGTATAAACAAAACAAAATATGTTTCATATGTTACATTTGCAAACACTATGTCACATATGTAGGCAAAACTACACACAAAAATGTTAACGGAGAAATGAGTCACTCATTCGTTGCGGAAAGTAACAAGAATCCAATGTAAACCAAAAAGTTACGAAGAATCCAACAAAACTTCGTGGCTGCAAAACTTGGAATCTGATTAAGGTTCTCACTTCAACTATCCATTAAGGTTTAAATTTCCAGATCTTTTGATGACAAAGTAAGCTGGAGGCCAGAAATACTGATGCATTTCCTCTGCTGGAAGTAATAGTCCCCACAAACAAGTTTCCTAGTCAGAGGCACGGAATCCTTATTCTACTATAAAGGATAAGCCCTTCTTTCACCTTTAAAAATTCGACAGCGGCTGAGATGCCATTGACATTATAAGAGAATTTTCTTACTTTACCATAACCGTTTCGTTGATTATTCCATCATACACGATTAAAACTGTCCTCGACAAACTATTTTGGAATTCATTATCTGTACTCATGTCTACTCTATAAAAATGCATAAACGTCATGACCATTATCAACCATTTTGTATCCTACCTCCAAACTACATCACAAAAACTCCAGAACTCAGAGCACTAGCAATCCATGAAACATCGAAACAAGCATAATTTCTATGCAGAAAACAGAATAACAATTAGACAAAGAAAATACATATAACATGCAACAAAACAGATGATTAGAAGCCCAAACACGCAGGATTAAGCATTAAAAGGCAACAATAAGCAAATTAAGACCTCTGTTGGGATTAGCTATGTCATTGATGATACAAAGAGAAATCCGATGTTTTTTGTTTTCCTGTGAAAGAGAACCCAAAAACCCAGAATTTTGATTGTGTCAAAACATAAAAAGGAAGAAAAGCAAGGAGTAAAAAAAGGACTCCAGATGGCCACATGCCCCATAATATCATCCCAAAAAAGTGGCCACAAACCCCTTTTTTTCTTGAATTATTCTCCACACAATGATCCTATTTTCTATTTTGATCAAAGACTCCCTCCCCGTGTTTTCAGGACTTGAAAAAAGAGAGGAAAAAGCTGAATATTTTAGAAAATAAAAACCAGTAAAAAGGAGGGGAAAGTTTATCATCATTTCTCCTCCATATATATTCCAACAAACCCAACAGAAATTTTCACTTTTGGACTTGAAAAGTGCTTATTTTTATTGGTAAGGAAGATAACTCAGTTGAAAAAAATGATCAGAATTCAGAACTCCTCACCAAAAATTATATATTTAAAAATAATGAAAAAGTTTGGAGAAAAAAGGAAGAAGATGATGATGAAGAAGCAAACGCAGCAGCTACCCAAACCAGAAACGATAACCAGAGATAAAACCCAGATGGAATTTTTTTTTTTTTAAAGCTGAAGAAAACCCAATACAATTCAACAATCGTTGAATTTAGATAGGAGTTAAAATTTACCTATTTCTTTCTCCTCCTTGTTCTCCTTGTTCTTCTTCTTCCTTCCAATACCCAGAAGCCAACAGTTGGAGCTTTTTAAAACTCTAGAGAGAGAAAGGAAAGATGGCTTTTCCTTTAAGAGTGAGAGAGAGAGAGAGAGAGAGAGAGAGAGGCGAAAAGGCCCGTGTGAAGGGAATGATTCAAGGCTTAAAGAGAAGTCCTTGAAATATTGGACTTTCATTTTTTTTTTTTTTTTTATTTAATTTTTAACAATTTTGGAGTTTATTTCTTTCCTGCTTTGGAAGCTTAATTCGAACAAACAAGCAACAGCCAAAGTGTTGTGCCGTCCGAATGAGAAAATGAGCTCGGAGAATTTTGAGCCGTTGTATCACATAAAGAGTCGATGATCGACGGCTGTGGAGGCATGTGACGACATGGTCAAATATTGGTTTACCATGTCACCCCTCACCGGCCCCCGCACCAACTTCGCCACCTCAGCCGCCGTCCAACCTCAAATTATAGTTTTTTTTTTAAATAATTAAAACTAGGACTGTTTTTATTTAATTAACTTTTTTTAGGGCCAAGTAAATTACAATCCGCCTTGAGATTGAAGACTTGATGAAGTGGGTCTCTTTCACTTTGCTTATCAGATTCAGATAGATGGATTTTGAAGTGTGTGAATAAGTGAGTCAACTTATGTGGATGAAAACTACATATTCATACAAAAATACACTATTTATCCATACATATCTAATACGCATTCATAAATCTATATTCTAATAGTAAAGAATACTAACTCGTCAGCGATTGAACGATAGTGTACATATAACTTCATGTTACGTCAAAATAAATAAGAGCGCAATTAAAAATAAGTATAAGCAGTTTAGATTAAATTTGCCCTAAGAATAGAAACACCATAAACAAACTATTGAGAACAAGTTTTAAGTCTTAGTTAGAACTCATTTCGAACTGCTTTTAAAATGGTTGAAATCGTTTTTTTTTTTGTGAAAATATTTTTGGAACCAATCCTTAGTAAAAATGCAAAAGTGAATATTGGAAAAGCACTTGAAATGCTTCCTATAAGAAACACATAATTGGTACTTCTTGCAGGAAGCACTTGAAGTGCTTTTGGAACCTATAAACATTTTTATCTAAAATACATAGTAATCAAAGAAATTAAACATTTTTCCTAGTAAATAAAATATTTTAACTAGGAGTATTACTCAAATATAGTAACATATAAATAAAAAATTATACGCAAGTTACTTTTTATATTACAAAAGATGTTACTACTTTAAGCTATGGTAATGAGCTACTTAGATTCATATTCACTTCTAAATGTGAGGTTATATTTGAATCTCGTTAACGACGAGTTCAATATCAAACTATATTACATGTTCATTGAGTGACTTAATTCAAACTCTCACATTTTAATATAAATATATCGTTATACATAAGTTACACTAAAAAGAGAAGAAAATGCCTCAACACAAAACATAGTGAGTTCATGGAAAAACTCTAACCACTAATTTTATTCAGAAAAACTGGATTGGATGTTTTGTGCATTTTTATTTGCTACTCAACTCATTCATTAGAAATTATTTTTTAGAAGAAGAGAAGGATAATCAAAATTAAAAAATAAATAAAAAGAAAAGAGGATTTGAGTACACAAGTTTTTTATCCACAAAAACAAAACCCTTGAATTTGGCAGAGGATCGAATCCACAGAATCTTGAAACTTGAAAGGGAAGGAATTTGGTAAAGGATCGAATCCACAGAAACTTGAAACTTGAAAGGGCAGGAATTTGGTGATCACGACGTCGTTTATATTGGTGGATCCACACTCATCACTTTTTCGACCCCCAATTATATATTTCTTTACTTTTTTTTTTTTCTCTACATTTTAAAGGATATTTGGCAATTCCACGAAAATACTTTTTCAAAGAAACTCTTTTTATGCAATTTTAAAATTTTATTTTGACGAAAGAAAGATAAATTGAATAATGTACACCAAATTAATTTGAATTATAATTATAGGAATTCAAAGTTGACAACTTGGCTAAGCGTATTTGAATGCAATTTCAAATTTTCATTTCAAGGCTTTTGGTTATTTTGGAGAGATTTTTCAAACGTGATCATGCGTTGTAGTTTAAGTGAAATAGTGACATTATGTGATTTTATTCTCAGTATATTGAAAGATTGCTTCAAAATGAGACATATAAGTCATTTTATTCATCTATATTATAACACGTGCAATGATACATCACGTGACAAGTGTTCATGTTGTTACACATAAAAACTTCTTGTTATTTTGAAAAATCAGAGCACATAAATTGAAGCATCTTGTTTGTAAACTCATTGTGTATATGATTGTGATGTTTTGCTTGCACATCTTTCGTGTGTTTAATTTCCTTTTGTATTTTTCTCTCATCCATCGCAATAATAATAGGAGGTGGATTGTCTGCCCTCCCATTTCCATATTTTCTCATCCCCTCCTGTTTTGTGTGGTTACGGTTATGCCACGTCAACATTTTATATTCCTATTACTTTTTGTTTTATTATTTTTATAAAAAAATCAATATAAAATATTAATATGGCTTAATGGTAACCACACAAACAGGAGGAGATGAGAAGAATATGGAAATAGAAAGACAAACAATCCACCTCCATAATAATAATCAATTACGCAACGAAGAGGATGAAGTTAGGTTGCCCTAATCAAATAAATACACGTAGTGTGTCTCCATCTTAATTTGTTATACAAGCAGATCTGTTTAACGTACGTCTTTATTGCAACATTACGCTTGTAATTTGTTTTTTATGAATATTTTATGCATGGCCTGCACGAAATGAGTTAAATCAACAAACCTTTTTAAAATTTTATTTTAAAAGAAAAGTTTAATAAAGGTAAATTTTACGTGACATTGCAGTCATTAACTTTGAAAATCTGTTAACTTGTTATTAAATCTGAAATTGTCTTCTTAATTTTATTGAGACTCTCGTATTTGAGATATATATTGGCTTGGAAGATCATAATTTGTTCGTAAACTTCAATCTTTTATATAGTTTGTAGGATATAAATGATTGTGGTACAATTTTAAAAATATTTATCATATCAAGAAACTTTATATTTTTATTAACTTTTGTTGTAACCTATAGCATTGCGCGGACATCCTTGCTAGTATGTCGCTCAACACCAATTTTAGTGGTATGAATTCCACATTGTGGCCGTGGAGAACTGGGCTCAAACCCCAGCAGCCACATTTCCAATAATTCATTTTCAATTTTATCTCTTGGTCCTTCTAAGAAATCACAAAGCTTGGATTTCCTTTTTTTTAATAATTTTTAAAAAAATCATTATTTTTTAATTTACATACCAAAACGAACCTCAAATTTTAATAGTTAATTAATTTGCCATGTGTAGCATTACTACCTGTGAGGCTGTGATGTAACTTTATGTTCCTCCTATTGTTTTTTAGCGACTAAATTAAATTAAATATGCTTAAAAGTTAAAAACCATAATATTACGAGTTGATGATTTTTTTTTCTCTTGTTGGAAAGAGTTGATCACTTATTTATTTAGTTAATTTAAGTAAGGACAATTAATGGCCTGCAGAAGAAAAGCAGGATGTGCCCCAAATGGACTACATGAGAGCAATTGCCATATATTATAGTTTAAATAATAAGAAAAAGCATGCTGTTCAAAAAAAAAAAAAATAAGAAAAAGCATTAGGGTTTAGACTTTAAAACATAATGAACACAGCAGGGACTAAAGCTTTATTCCACAAGATAATATAGGGCCACATCAATATTTTTTATATGTTGCTTTTCTTGTTGGGGTTTTATTTTTATTTTATTTACATTTTGCTAGGTGGTGATCTGATTAATTATTTAATGGACCTAATATTCTTTGGTTTTTATAATATTTGTGCACGTACGTAATAAACTTTGTTTAGGTTTGGAACCGATAATGATTCAACAGCACACTCTTGTCCAAATTATAAGCAGAGCAAAATTAAATTTATGGAAACCACTTTTCTACGTTCGAACTACTTCGACTTCTCATCTAACCCCCACACAAACAACTGATATACAAAGCAACTGCTAACAACTTACACAATTATATAATTGTAATCAAAATTAGATGAAAATTGCTCCTAGGTTAATGTATTATATGATGAGGTTTTAGGGTTTTGTCTAGTATGAGATGGATTTTGCA